CACCTATGGGCTGCACCCAGATGGAAGCACCCCTGGGAAGCCCCCAGGAATGTCTCTGCCAAAGGTTTGAGCCAGGCCCTGAGCCTGGGCCTCTGAGGTACCTTCCTGGGCTGAGAGTTCCAGGCTTGGCAGGTATGGCTGCTATCTCCTGGGCTGCACCTCACCACTCCAAGGCTGCCAGGACCCTCCAGTTCAACGCTTTTGTGGGCAGGCAGGGGAAAGAGACGGGGGCTCTTATCCAAGGGAACTTAGCCCAGGTCAACCAGTGGGACAGGGCAGGAGGGGGAGGGCTAGGAGTGGGTGAAGAGGCAGGGGCTAAAGTATCTTGAGCCTTACGGACCCGGTGAGGTCTGAGCAGCCCACTGGGTCTATGCTGGACAGACCAGAAGGCTGGGGTGGGGGGTGGGGAGTGGTGAGGCAAGTCCCTCCCACCTCTTCCTGACCGGGAACTCTGCTCTTTCCCTGCTCACTGGGCAGTGCTGAGCAGCAAAGAAGCTTAATTAAGTTCCTGTGTGCTAAGCCACTAATTGCGCTTGACCCATTGGTGTTCCTTCTTACTGCCTGGCTTATGTAGAGCAGCTTCAGGCCAATGAACGCAGGCACCTGGTACTGGGGCGGGGGGTGGGGGTGGGGGGGTGATGCCCCTGGAATTCTAGCCTTAGAGGTTAACTCCTTAGAGCACCATCATGACGCCTAATCCCCACAGCTGAGTGATCTTGGACAAGATGCTTCCACTGCTCTGAGCCTGTTTTCCCATCTGTGAGATGAGGAGAATCTACATGTTTTCTGACAAGTGCAATTCAGAAGTGCTGTGGGAACACTTGCAATCACTTATATTTAAGTAGCATTTAATATCTTTATTAGTTCCCTTTTCTCTGACTATAGGACAGATACATGTTCATTGCAGAAAATTCAGAAACTATAGAAAAGATTCAAGAGGCAGGAAATACCACCCACAGCCTCACAGCTCTGAGGGGACCAGGTGAGGGTCTGGTGTGGGGAGTGAGGAGCCTGGAAGCAGCCAGCAGGGCCAGGCCCATGAGCAGACCTCCCCTCCCTGCTGGCTGTGCCCAGCTCCTGAGCAGGCCTTGTTGTGTGTCTGCTCTGGGACGTGGTCCCCATTACCCCACGCCCCCCTTGTGTGTCCCCCGGCTATCGCCCTGTCACGGGGTGGCTCATCTCTCTCAGCCCTTCTCCCCAGAAAGCCAAAGGAAAGCCTTGCTGAGCGCAGGCTGATGGGGGTGGCAGCCCAGCCAGTAGGGTTCCGGCTCTGTCCCTGACCAGCGCAGGGCTCCAGACAAGTGCCCCGCCCCCATCCCACCTCCTCTGATCGTCTATACGACGACTCAGCCCTCACCATCTTTCAGGGTGTGGAGCATTAGCCCAGATGGTGCACAGAGGGCTCCTGGCAGCCCCATGAGGCCGATGCATCATTTCTTGATGGAACCTTCTGGACTTTATCCATTATGACAGGTTTTTATGACGAAAAACTCACTTTTTTATTGAGTGGAAGCTAAAATCAAGAATCGTTTAAAAGAAAAACAAAAAGCATTTTACGTTCCTATGATTATTATCCGATTTGATGGAAATACACAAGCCAAGCACAAATGCCCTCCCCCCCACAGCTTATCCACCCTCCCAGGCCACATCGGTGGTGGGGGAGGAAGGCTTTCTGCAGGAGAGAATGCCCCAGCTAAGCCCTGAGGGAAGAGGAGACCCCAGACCAGACCACCCCCTGAAGTCTCTGGCAGCACAGGTGGTAAGCCCACTTTACAGAGCAGAGACCCTGGATTTTCAGCCCTTCCCTGCCTGCCTGGCCCCTTCCCAGCAAACAAACACTCCCCTAGAGCGTACTGTGTGCTCCTAGTTACAAACCAAGGCAGGAGAGCAGGTAATGGGGTGGAGGCTAAGCCGCCAAACATGGAGAGGCCATGGAGTCCGCCAGTTCCTTGGGCAGGCATCTGTGCCCCAGTTGTGCTTAAAAAAAAAATTCCTGTGGAGTCAATTCTGACTCATAGGGTATCCTTGGTGGCACAGAGATTAAGCACTCAGCTGGTGATTTGAACCTACCAGCTGCTCTGCGGGAGAATGATGTGGCAGTCTGCTTCTGTAAAGATTACAGCCATGGAAACCCTATGGGGTAGTTGTACTCTGTCCTACAGTGTCACTATGAGTTGGAATCAACTGCATAGCAATGAGTTTGGGTTTTTTTTAATCTTTACGGAAGCTGACTGCCACATCTTTCTCTCACAGAGCAGCTGGTGGATTCCAACTGCCAACCTTTCTGTTACCAGACGAGCTCTGAGCTCTTAACCACTGCACGACCAGGGCACCTTCCACTTGTGCTGGAGGCCATAAAGCACTCTTGACAGCAGTTAAAGCTCTCCTCCCAACTTCCTCCCTCTCCTTCGGGGAGTCCTCCTCTCCATTTCATGGATCTGAGCCTCTGAGGCCCCACAAGCTGCAGGGGGCCTTGAAATAGTCCACAGAGAATGGCTCCCTTGTCCCCAGCAGGCTCTTCACTGGGGTGGGTGGGGGCATCAGGGAGGGTTCCCTGAAGGGTGAGGTGACCCAGACTGATGTAGCCCAGGCGCGCTGCTCTCAGTCTGGGTGGAGACAGGCCCCACATGGGCCTGGGATCCCAGGTAGCTGTGAGCCATAGGCCAGCTACGTTTAAACACGGTGGGGCCTGCATGTCCCAGTTCAGAGGATGCTTGAGCACATCACCATCTCTCCTAGCCTTGGGAAGGTGGCGTGACTGTCTTCATTTCACAGAAGCGAAAATTAAGGCTCTATGGCACGGGGCCCAAGCCCTGCTCTGGGATGGAGAAGACTGTCTGAGAGCCTCAATCCCACCATGGATGGTCGCAAGGGCAGCGGCGGAGGGGGAAAGGGTGGGGGTGGGTGTGTGGCGGTGGTCTGTCCTCCCTGGCTGGCCAAGTACCTTCCCCTCCCTGCAAGTGGTGGGTGTTGCAAGGGGCTTTCCAGGACCTTGCTTCTCAGAGGCCTCAGACGAGCCTCAGTGAGGACAGGGTGTGCCAGGTCCGGGTGCCAGCTGGCAAGAGCTCCACCTCCCAATCCAACCCCAGACCTCTCCCACTGCTTCTGAAGATGGTTTTGATGGCAAGTGCATGTTCTGGCATGGCAAGGTGTATGATGTCCTGTAGAAGGTGAAAAAGGTCCCTGGACCACCCTAACTCCACTAACTATACAAATGGAGGCCAGCTACCACATGCCTGAATGTTCAAAATGTGGTTTTACCCACTGAATAAAACATGTTCTATCCTCCTTGATAATGCCCCAAATAGCCAGGCTCAAATTTAGCATTTTTGGCCTCCTGGACACCTGGGCCAGAGTGTGGTGGTGTGTGGAGACTGAAAGCAGCCCTGGCTGGGCAGTGTTTTCCTCCTCCCACAGATGCCATCTGTAACTGAAGGGACACCCAGCCCTCACCTCCCAGCCCCGTCCACATGCCTACAGGCAGCTACCATGGGCCCAGTGGTGTGCATGCAGAGGCAAACCTAGAGGAGAGGCCAAACAGGCCCTAGAAGTGGACTCCGGCCATCTGCAGAGAATTCCAGGGTCCCAGGCCCAGAGTGTGTTCTAGACGGGGGCAAGGGTCAAGGTGAGCATGTTGCGGTGGCCCTACAGATTTGCCTTGACTTGCCGAAACCTAAGGACTGCCCTGCCATTCCAGATGTGGCAGGACTGGGACAAATAACGTTTAATTTCTCATCAAGAGAACTGAAGAAAATAGCACTGCAAGCTGAAGTGGAAACAAGGTATTATGAGATTAAGCCAGCCCTGACCCGGAAAATGTGTGTGGGGATCCCCCCTAGGTATTGCACCTTGGCTTCTACAGAGTTCAGAAAGCAGAGGCTAGAGGAGGGTCCCCAGCCCTGGTCACCTCTGTGACCAGTCTCTTCCTGTGTTCCCGTGCTTCCTCAGGCTCACCTCACCCCCTAGCCACACTGGATTTGTGGCTGTTCCTCAAGCTCCCAAACATATTCTCACCCTAAGGCCTTTGCATCACTGTTCCTCTGCCAGGAGTGCTCCCCTAGCTCTGCACGGGCAGCTCTCAGCTCAAATGTCACCTGATCAGGAGGCCTTCCCTGAGCAACGCCAACCCTCCAGGATTTCTATGGACTCCCCTTGGCAGGTGCATGGGCAGGGCCTGCAGTGGGCCTGCGCTGGGTTAGAGGGACAGGAAGAGGCTGGGCCACACTTCCAGAGGCCCAGCTAGGCTGACCCAGGAGCCACCAGGTAAGCTGGGGGTGAAGGGAGTAAGCCAAGGAGGGGGCAGCCCCCCAGGTGTGTGGGAGTGGGGAAGTGGGTTTCAACCCTGCTTCCACTACCTGGCCCTGAGCCTCAGTTTCCCCACCTGCAAAATGGGTACAAAAACAGCACCCACTTCAGAGGATTTATGTGAGGATGAAGCGAGTTTATTTATGTAAAGTAGCTAGAAAAGGGGCGACAAGGCAGATGGGGCATCCACGTGTGCTGCTTGTCTGCTCACCCACAACCCCACGGTCTCTAGGGAGGGTCCAGGCTGGTGGGAGATGAAAGCAGATGAGGAGTGCTTTTGCTCTTTGCCCTTTGGTCCTCCTGAAGTGTACGCAGGCCCTGGAAATGAATGCAAAACCCTATTCAAAACAACAAGTGCATGAAACAACATGGACAGCCAAACTAGGGAGTGAAAGCTCACCTGAGAAACGGACATTTAAGGTGAGAAAACAAGGATGCAGGGGGCCAGGTGCTGGGGAAGAGGGAGCAGCTGTGGCGGGCAGAGGGAACCGCCTGTGCAAAGGCCCTGGAGCAGACTTCCGGACGCTGCCGCGCTGCCCCCTGGGGATTGGGCCTCCCGAGGGGCCGGCCTCGCTCCCGGAGCCACCGCCCCTAGGCGCCCTAGAGGCGTGTCTGGGAGGGGCCTGTTGCGGCGGGTCTCCGCCCCTGCCCCGAGTCGGGGTAGTCCCGGCGGAGCGCGGAGCAGCGCTGGAGGGATGCCCCGAGCGGGCGCGACCCTCCGCGGGCGGACAAGGCCTGTGGGGCGAGCCGGGGACGCCACGCCTGCCCCGGGGAACCACACAGGTGAGCGCCGCGGGCCTGGCGAACCCGCGTGCGAGTCTCTACGCCCCTTTCACCTGCGGAAGACTGAGGGGCGGCAGGGCATGGCGGGTGAGCTCGGCTAGGGAGGGGCCGAGCCGAGAACAACCCTCCCCTGACCTTCTCCGCCCGCCCCGCATTCGCCCCTCGCCTCAGCAGCGGCCGAAGCCCTGCGGCGAGCTGCCCGAAATCAGGCAGTGGACAGGCAGCCGCCAGCCCAGAGGTCTGCGCGCACACTGCCCGGGTGGGCGCTCCGAGACGGTTCCGAGCCCCGGCCGTGGCACCCCGCCGTGGTCTGGAGGGTAGCCACGCCCCTCCCGCAGAGGGAAGCTGGCGGGTCCCGGGCGCGGGGGCCAGCTCTGGCCAGGCCCCGTGACCGCGCCGCGGGTTCTGAGACGCCTCCTTCCTCTGCGCCGCCGGGGCAAGTGCAGCCAGCGGTGGGGAGATCGGATTGGGCTTCACCTTGCTGGGTAGAGCCCCTGGCAGGGCTCTGCTGCCGGCTCTGCGCCTCGACCGCTCTGAAGCCCCGCGGGGCTTGTCATCTCCTTGGTTCCTTGGGAAGCCCTGGTGGCGCAGTGGTTAAGAGCTCGTCTGCTAACCAAAAGATCGGCAGTTCGAATCCACTAGCCGCTTCTTGGAATCGACTGGACGGCAACGGATTTGGTTTTCTTTTGTTTTTTGATTCCTTGGCAGCAGTGAGAAGGGGCGTTAACCCCAGCCCCTACTTGGGGACAGTGAGCCCAGAATAGGGGCGTGATTGCCTGAAGTCACAAGGTCACCAGGCCTGGGATTAAACCTCAGTTTTCCAAGGTTCTGTGGTGGGGGAGAGCTGGATTTTTATTTTAAGTGTTTAAGCTCAAGAATGTTCTAAAGAGGTTTCATCCCCAGTGCCCATTTCTCCGGTGTACGAAAAGCATCTGGAATCCCTGGGTTCAAATGCTGATTTTGCTCCAAAAGTGCTTTTAAAACATACCCTTTCAGAAACAAAACAAGCCAAACCAGGACTCTGATCTCAAATGCCCCTGAAGCTCACCTCCCACTGCCCACCAGGGTTAGCCTGAGGGTCCTGGACACTGGTGCCTCCTGGGTGGTGTCTGGGGCCAGGCTTTGGGTTTAGGCATTGTCACATACCACTCTGCAGAGAAGGAAGCAGAGGCCTGGAGGGTGGGCCGCCCAGGGCCGCACTGCCTCCGGGTTGGGGCCCAGCACAGAGGAGCAGGTGCTAGGGAACACTCTGAGCTGCCCCTGGACACCTATGTGCACGTGAGGGGCTCCCTTTCGCAGATGGGGAAGCTGAAGCCCAGAGGCTGTTGGATTTAGTGTTATTTGGTCTCCAAGTCGGGGCGCTGTTTGTGGAGGCACTTAGCCCCTTCTCTTCCCAGCAGTGTTGGAGGAGGGCCCACTGTGTGCTCACGAGGCCTGGGCGCTGATATAAGTGAGCCCTGTAGCACCACCCGGCCCTGGGAGGTAGATGGGAGGTGGTAGGAACTGATGGAAGACTGCAGGCTTGCCCAAGTCAACCAAAGGCCAGGGAGTGGTCCAAGGCCTTCAGACCTTGCTGGAAGGGGATTCCTCAGCCTGGATGTAGGAGAATAAAGGTGTATTTGCATACAAAAGGCCACTTTCATTGGAATCTCAGTGGAGAAGACCACACATAAAAAGCAAACAGGTTGCTGTGAGTTGATTTCCACTCACAGTGATCCTATAGGACAGGGTAGAACTGCCCCATAGGGTTTCCAAGGCTATAATCTTTACTGAAGCCGACTGCATCTTTCTCCTGCACAGTGGCTAGTGGGTTCAAATCACCAACCTTTTGCTTAGCAGCCAAGTGCTCAACCACTGCACAACCAGGGCTCCTAGTGGAGAGGACAGAGAGTCTCAAACACCGTCAAGGCCTGGCTGCCAGCTCATTAGTTCCCTGTGCCAGCTGGCTTGTTCTGTTGTCATAGCTCTGCTTCACTAGTCTCCTGCCAGATATGTGTGCCTGTAATGTGTCAGGCTTCAGCCTTGCCCCGTGGGCCCCGTACTGCCGGGTCCCTCATAGGCATTTGGGGTTGGAATCCCACCTCTGACCTTGGGTGAGTCACTTCACCTCTGTGCCTCAGTTTTTCCATGTGCAAAGTGGCAGGTGCTTCACACCTGGCCCAGGCTTGTGGACAGACCAGGCGGAGCCCGGGGAGGGCCTAGTGTGTCCATTTATGTGGTCATATTTTGCTGCAGGATACTGCTGGTGATCAGGACTCCATCACTCCCCTGATGTTTGGTCTCCAGCTGGGAAAATGTGGTGTGAACACCCTCCTGTCGAGATGTGAAGTGAAGGAATGGGTATGCTGGTCAGTTTGGAGACAGTTTGGCACTGTCTCAAACATAATCAGTTGAAATGTGTTTTTCTCCCATTCTGTAAAATGGAGCTGTTACTTTGTTCTTCCTAGTAGATATGAAAATCCAGCCAGATAGCCTCTGCATCTTGGGAGCCCTGCTCTTCTCACATCTCCAGTGCCCAGTCTGGGGGCGAGGCTGTGTGAGGGAGGCTGCTCAGAGCAAGAGTTTGTAACTGTGAGTTGAATGACTGGGAAGGGTGGGTGCCCTGCCAGCCAGCTGGGGTGGCCACAGGGTCTAATCCCTGCCTTGGGCATCAGGGCCATCTGCCCACTGCACATAGGTCCCTGGTGAGGAGCTGTATGCTCCACTCCACCCTGGCTGCCCTGGCCCGTTCCTAGGGCTGCTCCCACTCTCCCTTATCGAGGAGATTGTCGAGGAACATGGTATGGTGGGAGGAAGAACACAGGCTTCCAATGCCCAGAGGCAGCCACCCTGGTATCCCTGGAAGGGGCCTTGGAGGACAGGGCCCCGGAAAGGGGGAGGCAGAAGGAAGGGTGGATGGGTGAGTGGGAGGAGGGACAACAGAAGGATTGATGGGGGGGCAGGAGAAAGACCAAGGGGTGCACGTTGCCCCCGCCCCCTGCAGCCTTTCTGCCCAACTGGGCAGTGCCCATTTTACAGAGGAGAAATTGCAGCCCAGTGAGAAGTGGGTGTTAATCAAAAGGAGGCTTCCAAAGCCCCTGAGGGCCAGCTGTGGCCCCTGCTGGGTGTTGGCAGAGCTGCTGGATAAGAGGCATGTCTTCTTGGAGCCTCAATTCCCTTTACCCCTCACCCCCAGAGATCTGGGGAATGTACTAGGTTGCATTAGCCTGTTCTGTTCTGGGAGAGAATACATATTCCGGGGACTGAGGCTACCCTGCCTTCAGGAGAGGCCTGGGGGACTACCTAGGCTGGACAGAGTTAGGCTGGCTTGAAGCCCATGCGCGTATTGTAGTGTTGCTGGCCCAGAGGGCCTGGGCCTTGCCGTGGAGGTTCGATTCGAACCCAGGGTCCCGCTCTCCCTTTATACAGTGCCTTCTGTGTGCTTAGGTCAGCCCTTTGAACTCTCCGAGAAGTCCCTCATCAAGGCTGCCATTTTACATTTGAGGAAAAAGACTCAGTAGAAAGTGACTTTGCAGGTCAAGCAGAGAGTCACTGGCGGGTGGGAGGTTACTGATTACCTGGTCCTGCAGCGGGTGAGGTCAGGTGTGAAGGCTTTGTGGGCACCAGGAAGGAAGACAGAGGGGGCAGTTGTGATCCAGGGTTCCAGATAAAAGATTAACAAATAAAGATCATTCTCAGACACCTGCTGGCTGGGCAGGCGTGGAGGAATGGTCCACGAGGATGAAGCCCACCCACCAGTCCATGCACCCCTGATCTGCTCTGCGCCCCATGCCCAGCCTGGAGTGGAGGGCTGAGCTGCCCAGTGGGCAAGTGGCCAGGGGCAGGGGCACGGCCTGGGCAGGTAGGCTCATCCAGTCATTACTGAGCCCCAAAAGTCAGAGGCGCCATGAGGGTGATCCTGGGTGGAGGGGGCGGCCCTCCCACTGTCCTCTAAGCTGTGAGGCTGGGCTGGGCCTGGTCTGGTTTGGTTTTATCTTTCTTGTTTGCATCAAGTCCACTCAATTCCTTTATTCTGTTGTTCTTCCTCTCCTTTAAGATTTATTTGCATTTATGTAAAGAAGAAGGGGCACTGGTAGCACAGTGGTTAAGCACTTGGCTGCTAACCAAAGGTCACCGTTTCAACCTACCAGCCATTCCTCAGGAGAAAGATGTGGCAGTCTGCTCCCATAAAGATTTACAGCCTTGGAACCCCTATGGGCAATTCTCCTCTGTGCTGTAGGGTCACTCTGAGTCAGAATCGGCCCCGTGGCAATGGGGTTTGGTTTTATGGGTTTATACAAAGAGGGGATTAGTGAAGGGTACATGTACTAAATGTTCCTAAGCTGAGCCTGTGGGTGGCGTGGTTTGGCCTTCACAGGTGGAGGGGGCAGAGGGCCCTTTGATCAGGCCCCTGGTCGGAGCCAAGGGCTAGAGGGGTGCAGTGTCTGCTGGTGAAGGGCAAGGCTGGGCACCTGGGACAGGTGCAGGTTCTAGAGGTGCAGGCCACCGAGGGTGTGGGTAGGAGCCCTTGCAGGAAGAGGCTTGGACGAAGCTTTTCCTCCAGAGCGGAGCATTTACGGCACAGCAGGGAAACTGGCGTGTTCTCTGGGTGTCACTGCAGGCCTTGAGCCTGTGGGAAGAGGTGGGGTTTGCCTCTTAGGCACGAAGTGTGGGGAGGGGCTGCGGGGAGGCCAGCAAGGGGTGGCCGTGGGTTCCAGCTGGGGCGTGGGGGGCAGCCTGTTTATGTGAGCAATGGGTAGGCACCCCCAGATCCTGGTGGTTCCTGCACACAGCCCTAGGAGTTGCTGCACATCTGGGAACCTGGAGTGAAGTCCCCAGAGCCCCTCACACCTGCACCCTCCCTGCCCCATTTCAGTGTGTGGTCATTGCGAGCCCTGAGGAAGGGGCCACCTGGGGGCAGGAGCCCAGGTTCCTGTCCTTGGCCTGCTGTACCTCACTTTCCTCATATGGAAAATGGGACCTATCCTAGCACAGATGTGACATGGCATTAGACTCCCCAC